TCGAGACCGACGTCGACCGCCGCCTCTCGACGGCCGAGGCCGTGCTCGGGGACATCGACCTCACGCTGCCCATCGACCACGCGCGGCTCGTCGAGGCGCGGTACCGCCACAGCGACACGCGCGGCGGCTCCCAGAAGCCCGCGGCCGCCTCGGAGGTCCCGAGCCCGAAGGGCGAGCCCGTCGCGCTGAAAGACGCGAGACTCAAGGAGGCCCGGCGTCTCGAGGTAGCCCGGCGTCTCTCCGGCCGCCGCGCCCCCCCCCTGATCTCCTCCGCGGGGTCGTTCTCGTTGGGCGGCGGCAGCAACCGGTCGGGCAACAGCTGATCAAAAATGCGCCCACCGCGGCAACGCGACGTACGAGCGAGGCTAGGCGGGCGCAGTGCCCCGATCAACGTACATCTAGGTGCACCCATAGGAAATATTAATAAAGATCAATCATCGAATTCCGGCCGGCGGAGCCAGAGTCATTAGTCGTCCATAGAGGCTGTACGTCGACCGCGCGCGCGGGCGCGGTGTCGCGGCGGTCCGCGGGCTGAAATCACGGCCAAAATTGGGTTATGGTCGTATCAAAGCAAGTTTGATGATATTCGCGCGTTAATTGCACGTTTGCGATGGCTTTTTGCGCGCGGTCGCTGGTTCGGGTCGCGAAATCGCAAGATTTAACTTCAACAAAAGTGCTGAAGTTCAACAAAAATGTTGACTTTTAAATCCAGGCTATCAGAATCTGAGTTTTGATCGGTGCACTGGGCGGGCGCCTTAACGAGGCGCGTCATGAGCACGGAATGGTCGAAGTGGGCGCAGTTCGGGTACTCGGCGCACAAGTCGTCGACCATGGGGTAGTCCCTGACGGTGATGTCGACGTCGCCGGGGAGGAAGCCCGCGGCGAGCGCGGCGGCGGTGTCCGCCTCGACGGACGCCTCGTCGGAGGAGCCGGACATGTAGACGAAGACGCCGCCGGGCCGGAGCACGCGGAAGGCCTCGGCCATGAAGCCCCGCTGGTGCGCGCAGGCCCCGCCGAGCCGCTCGAGGTCGTTCGGAAACGGGTCGAAGAAGACCGCGTCGAAGGACTCGGCGCGCAGCAGCGGCACGACCTCCTGCCAGAAGCCGAGCAGGGCCTTGACGCCGCTCCGCGCGCCGAGGTCCGAGGCGAGCAGCGCCCGGAGCACGGCCGCGTTCGCCTCGACGATGACGTGCTCCTCGACCTGGGCGGGAAACGGGCGATTC